GCCTCGCCTCGCCTGCCTCGCCTGCCTCGCCTCGCCTCGCCTGCCTGCCTCGCCTGCCTGCCTGCCTGCCTGCCTGCCTGCCTGCCTGCCTGCCTGCCTGCCTGCCTGCCTGCCTCTGTTTCTTCTTATCGCGCCATTCAGGGAAATTCCTGCACCATCGCACAAGACCTTCACGACTGGACCCTCTTGTTTACTCAAGTACCGGTACTTTAATCAGGAAACAAAGGGGGTTGTCTGTATACCCCACCCACGCTAGTTAGGGCTCCCCGACAATCGTTCCCGAGAAAACAAGGAAACTACGGCCAGCAAGGTACGAAGAGGGGAGGAGGAGGAGGAGGAGGAGGAGGAGGAGGAGGAGGAGGAGGAGGAGGAGGAGGAGGAGCAGACAGCTCACACGAGCTCGATGTCCCTGACAAGATTCGAAGGGATCACCTGAACGTCCTGAGCTCCTTCACCTCGTTGAGGATCTTCTGGAACACCGCCTTTACATCCTTGTCGCCGTTAAGCTCCTTGAACCTGGGAAGGAGGACGAAACTCCTCAGGACGACCCCGATCACATGAATGCACAGACCTCTTCTGCGAGGCAGCGAGACCGGCCTTGTAGACCTTGGAGCTGTTGAACAGCCTCTGATTCAGCCGCATGCTCCGTTCCATACCTGCAGGATCGCAAGTCAGACAGGAGGAGAGGTCGAGCGAACCCCTTAACCTTCAGGGGCGAACTTGTCCAGCCATAGGAAAGCAGCTAGCTCGCAGATGCCCTCCTCCACCAGAGGATCAAGCTTGCCGAACCGTCTTGAGAACAGGTAGACATGCATCAGCTCGTGGACTAGCGTAGACGTCAGCTGCATGGCTGTCTGCCCCGAGAGGAGGTTGATCCCCTCCACTTGGCGGCTCACGATCTCGTCGTTCTCCGTCTCCTCTACGATGATCGTCGTTCCCATGGTGTAGGACTTCTTGTCGGTGACCTGTGTCTCATGAACGCTCCTCGAATGCTCTCCCCGCAAGGCCGCCACGTCACTTCGTTCCACAAAACGTAAACTGACAGAGTCGATCTCCTTATCTGCAATGCCCAGGACATCCGCTAGGAACTGTTTCGCCTTGCGGAAAGGAGCAGCAGCATCCTCTGACTTCCAAACTGCATCTTGGTTACATCTCTCACAAATCACACGTCCATCTGGCAAGTCCAGCGCGTGTTTGCGCGTACCAAACACCAGTCGTGCACATGAAAAGCACACTGGGTTAGCGTGATAATCGTTTTCACAGTAAACCTCTCCACTCTCGTGCTGAATAAAACTCTCAACATACTTGCTGCAGACCATGCATTTTGGGGAAACTTTCGTTTGGTAATCCTTCTCACAAAAGAAATCCCCTTCATGTACAAAGAATTTTTGTTTTTCGAGGGACATTCCACACTGAACACATTTGAAACATTCATGGCATGCTCGCTTCTTTTGAGTTTTCGAGCCTGGTTTGTCAGCCACACCAACAAGAATAAATTCTTTTCGAAGGTAATTGCCGCAGAATTCACACTTCTTGGTGAACTTTTCATCATAGTGCTTCTGACAGTATGGCTTCCCTTCTTCTTGTCGGAACCCATTGATGTCTAAGGTTGCTTCACAGCCCGGCACACAGCAACGCAAGCAAGTGGGGTGTATCCTCTTTCCGTTGAAGATGGTGAACTTGGAATCTTGGAACGCCTTTCCGCAGACTTCGCAGCATAAACAATCCGGATGATACATCTCGCCGTTGCCCACCTTGAGGTATCTGTCCTTGATTGGTTTTAAGCACTTCGTACACTTTTCCAGCAGTTGGTCTTTGTGCTTGGAACAGTATGCCTTGCCATCTTTCTTCAAGTATGATCCTTCTATCTGAGCATGGCACAAGCTGCATCTCAAAGAGGTCATTGTCTACGTCTTGCTCCTCTCTTCAGCGTCAATTCTTCAGCATGTCCATCTCACAAGCCCGTCGCATCGCTCCCCACCATCGTCATGACCCGAATGTTCTCGGGGGGTTCTCAAGATTCTTTTTTTTTGTTTCTTTTTGTTTATCAGGTTTTTTTAAACTTTTACAGTTATTCTTTTTTGGGTGGGGCGCAATGCAGATCAGGGCAAAGGTGAAGGAACTAGAGTGAGAGGAGAAGACGAGAAGGTCGCGGGCAGACGAGGAGCCGAGAAGGAAGAGCAGCAGCAAGTGGAAACAAGTGACGGTGGGAGAGGAAGGATACAGGAAGCGCAAGAATGGTGGGGCATACAAGGGCATCCATGAAACCCGGCAATATCTGCTTGCTCGCCGTATGCTTTTGTGTCTTCGTCCGAGGCTCAGAGAGCTCAATGGTGGCAGCGTTCGAGGGCTCAGACAACCACCCGCAGAAAATGTACAGTAGAGGCAACCTCAAGTACATAGCCACAAGGCTTCACCCTGGTGACGAATTGAAAAGCTGCTTGGGGGAGCTATGCTCGGGCAGAAGCATGTTCGTGCTATCTTGTGTCGGATCAGTCTCATGCGCAACGATTCGCTGTGCAAACTACTTGAAGTCGGGCTCAAGCACAACCAATGATATCAAGGTTCTGAAGCAAAAGTTCGAAATTGTGAGCCTGGTTGGCTCAATTTGCGGTAAAGTTATGTTTGTTTCTTCCACAAGGCTAATCGTGATCTAAAGATGATGGGATGCATCTGCATATTTCATTAGCAGACAAAGATGGGCACGTGCTTGGAGGTAAGTTGTTCATTCTTGCCCTAAGGTTTCTTTTCTCTGAGTCAATCATCAGGCCATCTCATGAATGCTACCATATTCACCACCGCAGAAATCCTGCTGGGAGAGCTTGAAAGTACCAAACTGTCAAGAATTCACGATCAGCGAACGGGCTATCCAGAGTTGGTTGTGCCAAAGGATCAGGTGATACTTGAAATTTCACAAGTGCATTCTGACCATCTGCTGTTCGCCTCAGGAATCGGCTGAGAACGAGGGGACAGCCCTCGAACGTCTGTTCAAATACCTGCATGGAGGGTTGCTCCGTTTGAAAGGAGGAGACGGGGATGCGAGGCAAGGATACCAAAGTCTGAATCAAGCATGTTTTTTAACATTTCTCTGATCAGAGGCAAAGGGCTCTGCTCAAAAGTTCCTCTTTCAAAGTCTTTACTGTACCTTTCAAGCTGCTATGTTGCAAATAGGAGGGAGAGCAATGTACTGCCTAGAACTGATCGGATAAATTCCAGAGCAGTGTACAAACTTTCATCTCAAGATGAAAATAAAGTGAGGCAATCCTATCTGTACGAGGATGTGAAGAAAGTCTTGAACGGGTATCATGGAAAGCGAGGAAGTTTGAAATCTCTTTCGTTGAAACCTGACATTCGAAGAAAAGCAGCAACGCTTTCGCTTTCGTCAAAAACTTTGTTATATGGAGAGTCAGTGATCGACGGATTATTGAATTCTTTGAATCTTGCTAGCCCTGTACAAGACAATGGATTCAAAGATCCTACAATCAGAAACTCTTTGCCATCGGATGATTCCTTGTATCGGAGAATAGTCACTACTGATTTGCTATTTGGGAGTGGAAAGTTATCAAAGTCAGGCCATGATCCCGTCTTGCACGAGGTCATGCGGTCATTGCGAAGAAACCAATCTCAGATCCATCAAAAGTTTCAAGAGTACCTTCAGCTGAGTGGTACGACCAGGTTTGATTTGTGAAATATCGGTCTGATAACGTTATTAGGGCACAAATCGGTCGCTGAATTTGTGTCTTCGAAAAGTCAAAACTCTTCTGCGGTACGAAATCATCCGAGGTTTTGACCTTTGTCACAAGGTAATAGAGGCTGAATCCAAACCTGGCAGGTTTTTGAGGATTAACTTGCTCAAAGCTACAAGAGAATCCGTGGCCCGATCTCTTGAAGACGAAGGCTTCACGAGGGTTAATCATGTCTCTGTGGGTCCACTGGGAATGCAGGACAAGAAGAGATGCTTCTCGGAAGATGAAATCATTCCAGACATTCTGACGATATGGAACAAAGTTGATCTGCACAATCATCACCTCGTTACCAGTGGGCTTGTTCTCCAGCAGGACAAAGCAAGTACCTTTCCTGTTCATGCACTGATTGGCACCGGGACTTTACATTCTGAAAGAAAGTTCAATTTCGTGATCGATGCATGCGCTGCTCCTGGTAACAAGGTTTGACTCTTAAATGAATCTTGTGCGCACCTCTGAAACAGGTCGAGCCAGGCTTCGCACCTCGCGGCAGTAGCTCTACAACCCGACAAAGGGGTTCTTGTTGCCATCGAGAAGTCCCCTGAGAGGGAGAAGTTGCTTCGGGAGACGCTGCGGAGAATGGGCTGTACGTCAGTCCGCGTCTATCGGAGAGACTGGTTGCAAGTCTCGCACGACGACGAGCTCTTATCGCAAGCGGACGCGATCGTTGTCGACCCCTCCTGCTCTAACTCAGGAGTCCTCAGAGATGCGATGGACGCCTCTCCCAGTCGCTTGCGGGGACTTTCTGACTTTCAGAGGAAGGCGTTGATCCACGCGCTCTCGTTTCCCAGTGTCAAGTTCGTGGTTTACAGTACATGCTCCGTCCACAGGTGTGCTATTGCGTTGAAAACTTGCATGCTGGTGATCATGAGAGTAGGGAGGAGGACGAGGAAGTTGTTGAGTCGGCCTTGAACGTAATACTCTCTCATAATCTTGTTGTCCGCGTCTCACAATGCGCAGGCGGTAGGGGATCGCTTTCACCTCGAACATGTATTGCCCCAATGGAAGCGACGAGGAATTCCGTCAGCTTCCTTTCCGTCTGCTTTGTCAGAGTGTTGCATTCGAGCAGACCCGGACAAGGTGAGAACGGACTCGTCTCTGCTCTGTCGTGCTCAACGTCCTGACAGGACCTCATGCACGGATTCTTTGTGGCATGCTTTGCGAGGAAGACATAAGTTTGTAAATAGCTTGTAACAAAATGTAGTACAACAGGAGCATCGAAGCCTATCAAGAAGCTAGAGCTTTATTGATCTTCTCAAACATGAAGAAGAAGCAGGCGGCTCCGATCCCAAAGTTCATCGCTCGAGGGACGACCCCCCGATATAACGCCGAGACGCCCTGTGAAAGCTCAGGAGTGAGCGAGGCGAGGCGAGGCGAGGAAAGCTTCACCTCCTCTCGGATGATGGTCATAGCACAATTCCTGATACCGGCGTACTGAGCGCTGGCCTGTTGCAGCAGAGGGTCAAGTCAGTGACCGGCCGCCAGCCGGGAAATTTCTCACCATCTTGAGGTTCTGCGTCTGCAAGCGCGTGTTGATCGTGTCCAATGGCTGAGTGGCGAAGGCTGTGGCGATGCCAGCGAGGAAGCCTGCTTGCATCTGGTTCCAGTGCGGTACCGACCCCAGCTCTATCCCAGCTCAGCTTCAGCGTCTCATCGAAACCATCAAGTGGTACCTCTTCTCTCCCCACTCAGAAGCTTCAGCGCAATGGGATAAGTCGTCCACTGGACCACGTTGTAGACGGCGTTCCTGCCAGATGACGTCAGCAGTGCCTGGTGACGGCGGGGAGATCGAGGGCACGTTGCCTCAAGAGCGTCGCCTTAGTGCCCGAGTAGATGTCGCGCAGGTACTCCAGCGACAGGAACCGCTTGTCTGTGTGCAGCACCCCCCCTCCGAGCTGAACCCGGTGCTTGATGCACTCCATGGGTACCCCGACGAGCGTGGCTAACGTGCTGCCCATGAGAGCGCTGACAAGGTCGATGAAGGAGTTGTCTTGCAGAACCCTCCTTGCCCCCGGCAGCCATTGCAGCTTACGAACAAGCCTCTCGTCTCCGACCAGTTCTACAGGGCGTTCAGCGGAGGAGGGGTACAGGAAGAGGGAGAAAGGGAGGGAACAAGGGGTAGGGAGAGGAGAGGAGAGGAGAGGAGAGGAGAGGAGAGGAGAGGAGAGGAGAGGAGAGGAGAGGAGAGGAGAGGAGAGAGGAGAGAAGAAACCTGTAGTCAGGCCTTGACCCAGGTGGAACAAGAAGGCATAGGGGAGCGCCATGACAGCCGTTGTCTTCAGCCCGTAGAACAAAGAGGCCGATCCTTCCTCCTTGATGCGACGGCTGAGGACTTGGAACAGGTTGAGGGAGTTCTTCTCTCTGAGAAGGAGAAAACATGTAAGGAGATCTGTCCCACCTTACCCGCTCCTCCCGCTCCTCCCGCTCCTCCTTCCTCCTGCTCCTGCTCCTGCTCCTGCTCCTGCTCCTTCAAGCCCACCCCCCCTCCCCAGCTTTCCTTCTCCTTTCTCTTTCCCCCACCTTTTCCTCCTCCCTCCTCGTCCTCGTCCTCGTCCTCGTCCTCGTCCTCGTCTTTCCCTACCTTCTTGAGACCTCCAGCAAAGTAGTGAGCGTGTCGAGAGGATGGACGATCACAAACTTGCTTAGTCCTCCTAGATATCCCGCCACACACTGATTCCAAATCTTCCTGCTCGCGCTCTGCTCCCCCCTCCCATACGATCCTTTCTTGACCTGCCCATTGTCGTTGCTCGGCTGTTGCGCGATGAAGCCCAAGGATCTGGTCAGGCGCAAGGAAGTTTGCGGCACGAAGGGAGGAAGAGCTGCTGAGCAAGCATCGAGCTGTAGACAAACTAGGACGAGGATGCAGACGGTTCGAGCCCAGGAGGAGTCGAGATGAGAGGAAAGAGAGGAGATACAAGAGGAAGGCGGAGAGTGAGATTCTGACGAAAGGACCGCTGATGATGATGATGATGATGATGATGATGATGATGATGATGATGATGATGATGATGATGATGATGATGATGAAGAGGATGAGGACGAGGGTGACGTGGGAGACGAAGAGGAGGGAGAGGCAGCAAGTGACGAGCAGGAGGGTGGGGAAGGAGAGGAGGACGCGGAGGAGGAAAAGCGGGAGGACGGAGCCGAATCCCGCGTCGGCATGGGGACGGAACTCTCCCCGCTACTGACCGATTTTAGTCAATGGTTTTCAGGTACGAAGTTCGTAATGCCAAGGTAGCACGGAACAGCTATGCGAGACAAAGGAGATGGGAACGATGAAGAGCAGGAGCAGGAGGGTAAGCAGCAGGAGGAGCAGGAGCAGCAGGAGCAGCAGGAGGGTAAGGAGGAGCAGGAGCAGGAGCAGGAGCAGGAGCAGGAGCAGGAGCAGGAGCAGGAGCAGGAGCAGGGACAGGGACAGGGACAGGAGCAGGAGCAGGAGAAGGAGAAGGAGCAGGGGCAGGGGCAGGGGCAGGGGCAGGGGCAGGAGCAGCAGCAACTTTTAGCAGGAACAGGGTCAGGGTCAGGGGCGGGGGCGGGGGGAACAAGAAGAGATTAAAGCAGGAGGTAGAGGAGCGCGATGAAGGGCCTCATGTGAAGCACAACTGAGCAGCAACTTTTAGCAGGAGAAGGAAAATGAGGGAGGAGGAGAGTAGGAGCTGAAGATGGGTCAAGCAGAAGAGGCTTCGAAGACCGTCCTCGACAAGTTGAGGTCAGCCCAGTGCCCGTGATCCTGTTGGTTTGACCTGCATGACAGAAGTGATAACGACCTTCTAAAACGAGCTGTCCTGCAAGAGCAGAGGAAGCGGACGAAGCTTGAGAGCGAGAGAGAAGAATGGAGGCGTCATCTGGAGATCCTGGTGAAGAGGAGAGGAGAGCAGCGCGCCTCTGGCAGCCATGTGATCGCTGAGCAACGAGACGTACAGGAGCTGCTGCATGAGCTCGAGACGCAGCTCGAGCTCCTGCAGTCCGATGGGAGCCATGGTCTGCACAAGGTAGAGGAGGTGCAGGAAGACTTACAAGGGATCAAGAGAGATAGTCTGGACAGGATCCTCTCGCAACTGGAGGGTGCGACCGCGAGCATAGCAGACAGTCTGTTTCACATCAGCACCCGAAGTCAGCTGATGGCGAAGAAGGCGCTGTTCGAACCGATTGAGAACAACTCGAGCACCAGTCAAAGTTCTGTCAGCGAGAATGGTCTATCGAGAAGCGAGCTGCTGGGTTTCTTTGACCTGATGGTTCCGACAACCAGGCAGGTAGTCACAATCTTCAACGTTCACCAACTCGCCGCATGCGAGCTGCTGCTCAAGTTGTCAACAGAGAGAAAAGACATCCAGCACACGGCTCAAAGTCTGTCACGATCGTTCGCAAACGCACAGAATGCATTGAAGTCGCTTCACACGTCCTCAGCGTCTTTGAGGTCGTTCATGCGCGAGAAGCCCACGTCAAAGAGGATGATCATCCCCGTTGCAAGCATCAGTCAAACTGCATCCCTTGCGACGATCGCGGAGGAGGTTGTCTACGACAAGTTCTTCGAGGCTGTGGACGCCCTTCTGACTTGTTTCCTGCGACTGGGCGGTGACTGGACTTCACTGCTGCGAGCTGACAATGAGTTTCTTGCACGAGTTTGCCTGGGAGAGGAGGGGAAGAGGAGAGAGGATGTGGCTGCAGCCAATGGGAGGCTCGAGAGGAGTCTGCAGGGTCTCGTTAAGGCAGCTGAAAGCCTGCAGAACAAGTTGAATGGCGGGGAGAGGAGCAACAGGTTGGAGTTTCTGACAATGATTGTGCGGGAGGCGGTGGAGAATGTCGGGGACTTGGTTGTATTGCTCGTGGAGTTTGTTCATTCATTAGAGAACAAGAATGACTACGATCGGCTGGCAGGTTTCTTGCTCTTGTTGTCTTTGCCTCCTCTGATGTCAATGTCCCTGCGTCAGGCCTGCAACCCAGCAAGCAAGTGTCGGAGAGGATGATGAAGTCGTCTTCAGACATCTGCGACATCTTCACAAAGTTTCACATGTCGCTCTCGCCCAACATGCAGAAGATTCCCTCGGAAGCCAGCAGGGCGTCGATGGAGGAGACAAGTCAGACTTGCGGGAGGAAAGAGCACAGCAGTGAGGTGCTGTCTTTGACCAAACAGCTGGCGGACATGCAGTTTCGGTGAGAATCTCTCCTTTGCCCATCGTGGTCTTGTTCTGACGTGTGTTCCCATCTTCAAGTTGCTCAGAGCTCGAGGCGAGGTGTGAGCGGCTGCAGAAAGAGAATGTCAATACGGCATGCTTGAAAGCTCCAACATCCAAGACTTCACAGGATCATCACAGGTCCTCACTTCTCCCCTTCTCTTTTCTCCCCCTTGTAAGTATCTTTTGGCAGCGACCTGCAGGTCAACCCCAGCCAGACCCCAGCTGCTGTGAGCGGAAAGGCGATCGACGAGGTGCAGAGAGAGGAAGAAAAGCTGAAGGAGACAGACGAGGACCTGAGAACTTTCACAAACACAGTGAAGAATGCCATCGTACCCAAGGTGACCTCCTCTTCCCTCCTTCCTCTCTCCTGCCCCTCCTCCCCTATCCTCCCCTCTCCTCCCCTCTCCCCTCTCCCCTCCCCTGCTCTCCTCTTCTCCCCTCCTCTCTCCTCTCCTCTCTACTTCCCCCTCCTCTCCTCTCCTCTCTCCTCTCCTCCCCCCATCATCTCCCCCTCCTCTCTCCTCCCCTCCTCTCTCCTCCCCTCTTTTTCTACATGTTGAACTCGCTGCCCCAGACCTCGGACGACGACTCTCCCTCCCCTCTCTTCTTCTTCCTCGATGACTTCGCATCCGCTGGGGCTGTAACCCGAGAATCTGCAGGAGTGACTGCAGGAGGGCAGGGAGGGCACAAGGAGGAAGGAGGAGAGGGAGGGAAGAGAGAGGAGGGGGAGGGGGAGGGGCTGCTCTTCTTTGGAGAGGACGGTGAGATCAAGTGGGACCCACTGGAAGAGAACGGCATGGCTCCACGAGGGAAGAGCGAAGAGGAGGAGGGGAAGGAGGAGGATGAGGAGGAGGACGAGGGGAAGGGGTTGATCCCAACCTGCTGGCTGCCCTCAGCTCGATAGACATGTCGGGGGCACTTGATCCGGATCTGCTTCGGAGCTTGACAGAGGATACGTCGATTCTGAACGACGTATTTCCTCCTCCTCCTCCTCTCCCTCCCCTCCCTTCCTCCCTCCCTCCCTTCTGCTTTCTATCTTCCTCCCCCCCCCTTCTCCTCTCCTCTCCTCTTCTTCCTCTTCTCCCAACTGTCTCTGAGTATTCGCAGGACAATCATTTCCTTCCCTCCCCCTCCCCTGCTGTGGAGCCTCTGCTTGCCTCGACGCTAGACCAGCACGCGCAGCACGATGTCGAGCCAGGAGGGAGGGGAAGAGGAGGGGATGCAGAGACGTCGAGAGAAGGAGGGAGGACTGGGGAGGTGAGGGTTGTCTGCGGGAGCTATACGGTTGTGATGAGGAGGAGGGGGGAGGAGGGAAATTTCCTCGTCTCGCCGTCCGACAAGACGCGGGAGAATGCGCTGAAGCGATTCTACACTGGGAAGATCAGGCAGCTAGAGGTGAGCGGAAGGAGGCAGGGAGGAGGAGGAGGAGGAGGGGAGAGGGGAGGGGGCGAGGAGCAGAGGATTCAGGGAGTAGATGGGGGTAGGGGATAGTGAAAGAAAGGTTGCAGGAAGGGGAGAGGTATGTTGTGCTTGCTGACATTAGAGTAGGAGGCGCTGGAGAAAGCTCGAAGACGGGGGAGCAAGGGGAGACGAATAGAAGAGGAGGAGGAGGAGGAGGAGGAGGAGGAGACCCTCTAGGAAAGCTTTGACGACAGTAAAAGCTCCGCTTGCTGCATCAGATTTCTCATCTCCTGCTGAATCTCCAACGTCTGCGATGGTGTAGGCAGTGAGCGCTGAGGTGAGGAGGGAGGAGAGGAGAGGAAGCAGCCATGCCGCGTGAGGGGGGAGGATCAAGCAGGGAAAGAGGGAGGGGATCCGAGGAGGAGGAGGTAGAAACATCAAAGAAGAAAGAAGCTGGAAACTGGAAGGAGGAACATGACGAGGAAATGGGAAGAGAGGACGGAGGAGGGGAGGGAGGGGAGGGAGGGGAGGGAGGAGGGGAGGAGGAAGGGGTTATCCTCTACCTTCTTGACTTGATCTCTGCAAGAAAGGGTGAGAAGGAGGGAGGAAAGAAGATAGTTTGTCACTTCTTCGTCGTCTCGTTGAGCAGCTTCAAGATCTCTTCCTCATCCGTCAGGTCCACAGGTCGCTGAGATTTCTTGTCCTACATCTGCCCTCAGACTCCCTTCCTCTACTCCCAACCGCCTCCTCCCCGTCCCCGTTTCCCTCCCCCTGCCCCTCTCCTCCCATGTTCATTCCCTGCGAAAGCACAAGATTTGACACAAGCATCATCTCACAAGAAATCCTCCAACTCTGCGGCGGAAGTTTTTCATCTTCTGCTGTAGAGGTCAAAGTCTTGATCCCACTCAGAGCGGTGGGGAAGATGCAAAAGCGTTTGACGGGAGTTGGGATGAGCATGTCGAAGAACGGGTAGCTGCGATGGAAGTTCTCCGATCTGATGGCGTTGCAACCGCGACAGAGCCAGTCGATGGCCTCCATTGCTAGAACATGTTGAGACAACTCCTGAGGTTTGTACTCTTTGGTTTGTCTCGCCAGGTTGCTGACGGAGATGCGGAGGTGTCTCTCGATTGACAGCTTTACCTCCTGCAGGTGCCTCTCCTCTATGTAGTTAGGCAGGAACGAGGAGATAGAAGGAGACCCTCGTGATCACTCGGTCGAAGTGGAACCCAACCCACCAGACGAGTTCCTCAAACTCCCGTACACTGCCGTCCTCGAAATTTTTGAAGGAAGGTAATCCGCCCTTGCCTCCGTAGGAAGAGACTTGTAGGCGAGCTGAGGTCCGACATACCAGAACGTGGGGATGGGTAATCGAACTTGGAACTTCCTATGCTTTGCGTTCCCTATGGGACTGTGCACGGACTTCTCCAGGAATTCCCGGAGCAGGGCTTAAGGCACGGGATCTCAGCACCGAGGCACTGTGTACATGTCTACGACGACACACTTCTCTCTTGTACGAGTGTGCACAAGAAAAAGGGTTTGAAAAAAGGTGTGTTCCC